CCTTTATGCTTACACCCTCAACGATAACTCCTCATACTGACATTCTTGTACATCCACAGACAAACTGATAACAACACAAACATGGTGATATTCCAGAACAAAACCAGACCATAGCTTTCACACGAAATATCCAGACTCAGTAATCCCACACAACTCTCCTGGACTCCATATTCTCTGACAAAACAATCGGGGTTTTGCAGAATCTTATTATGGGTTCTATTATGGGATAAAATGCACAATCCTCAAAATCATGCTGACTAAAATCGGATTCAATGGAGAAATCACAAAACTATTTCTGATTTTTCGTAAGAAATGGTTGTATCCTGCGTTTAAAGTATCACATAATTTAAATGATTTATTGTTGTACCTTTCTCACTTTTACCATTCGGTTTTGTAACTGAAAAGTAGTTCAATGCTACAGTATTGTCTTCTGTACACTTATACCTATATCCTTATATCTATTACACTTATATCTACATCCGTAGGTAAAAGTCTTTCCTTCTATCAGTCTTTTCGTATAGAACAATATTCGTCTCAAGTGAATGTTGATTACAAGAATGACTTAAACACTATTTTAGTGTAGTTTATGATTGATTACGACCTACTTCAATAAGAATGTATGTCATTCAATACTATCGGTCAACATAATAAATGAGTTGATTGATAGAATACATCATGACTGCGTTATCTCTTTATCTAATATTTGATGAATGTTTCACTTTCTCTGTTTTCTAGTAATTGACAATGCTTCATTCTTGGGAGAGCTTTCTGTCAACGACAAAAAGAGTTTAACTCGTTGACAGCCAAATTTTAGATGGCCAAATTCCATTGATACCGATAATGAAGTTAGATAAACCCTCATCTAGATTATCATGCACGAGGGTCAGATCAACAATATTGAAGTACTACACGTATAATACTCCCACATTTAGCCATTTACACAAGAATGGTTTAGCAGATTGTTTTTGATAAAGTGAGAAAATGCATTGAAGTTTTGATGAGGTGCAATGAGGATGTGGGTGTGGGTGGGTGTAGGTGGGCATGAACACTAGTCGCGCACCCACACCCACATCCACACCCACATCCACACCCACATCCACACCCACA